CACACTCACACACACACACACACACACACACACCTGTCCAGCTAGCATCTCATAGAGCAAGACTCCAAAGGCCCACCAGTCCACAGACTTTCCATAAGGTTGATAGGCTATGATCTGAAATAGAAGACACTTTGTTCAGGGAAATGTATCAATTAAATCTATAGCAAAAGAAGAGGAATGTAGGACTTCCTGGTTCCCTCGTCTCACTGTCAATGGATTTCTGAATGTGATTTGTGAATGTGAAATAAGGGCTGTGGTTAACACGAGCATTTCCACGTATTGTTCTCAGCATGAAATACGCCAGTAAATACTCAACTTGTGAATGCCTCAAGCTTACACGTTTTAAAATGGTTGCTAACAAGTGGCTAAATGAGACTACTAAAGGTCGCCTAACATTAGCTGCTTTTAGCTTAGCAATGGTGACGTGAGGTCATGCGACCGTCGTTAAGTATGTTTGTTTAAGTTAGCTATTTACGGAACAAATCGTGTAAGTATGATGAAGCTGTGTTTGCCACAGATCTTATTTCCTGATATTCCAAAATCAGATGGAAAAATCCCATTGCTTTTTGTCAGCCCTTGTGATGCTAATTTCCAGGGCGGCCTACAAAAATACGTCATCACTGCACCACTCAATGCAAGGCAGGGAATAAAGAGAACAAGTGTTACAAACAAGTTAAAAACCTCAACACACATATTGAATAAAACATGCCTACAGGCCAGAAACACACTCTACCTCAGGAGCTATGTAGTCCGGTGTTCCACAGAAGGTCTTGGTAGTGACGCCGTCATTCATATTTTCTTTACACATGCCAAAATCTGCTATCTTAATGTGACCCTCGCAGTCCAGCATCACATTGTCCAGCTTCAAGTCTCTACAGGAGGGAAAAGCAACGTTAGGCTCATAATAGCACCATTTTCTTTATTCTACGCTCCAGTCTTCTTCTCCTCTGAATCATTGTTGTTATTTTTCCTTGGGAGTTTAATAGGGAATGATGCAGTGCTTAACGCAAGAGGTCGAACTGGGGTTACACTAAAGCAGATGACAGATCCTGATTTGCAGTTAGGAGGACTGCATTATTTGTGGGGGTGGATTCTCAGCGTGAGATTATAAACAGCAGGAACCAGTTGATTGCAGTTGATGGTCTAAAGGTCAGAAAATGTATTTTTCTTCAGTACCAACTGAGGGGGAGTTGAAGTCACAAAATATTGTGAATTCTGAATTTTATAGATTCATATCTAATGAAAAAGTAATTTTTCCTGCCATTCTCTATTGCATAAATTTATAAAAGATATATATTTGCAAATATTACAAATAGGAGTGTGCTGAAATAATCCTTTAAAGGTGGGGTAGGTCATTTTGGAGAAACCAGCTGGAGTGCGCTAGAATTTGAAAATACACAACCGGAAATTTTTTGCCACTTCCTCACAGAGCCCCTCCTCCAACACACACGAACGCGCACATGACCAATGAGGGCACGAGATAAGTTTGTGCACAGATGGAAGGCTGACAGGCAGGTAGGCCATCCAGTTATTTTAGCCGGGCCGGCTCAGATGATTGGTCGAGCTTTTTACAGCGCTACGGCTTCCACAGCTGACATTTTTTATGGATTTTTTGTCAAAGCACTTTATATATATAGATATTCATTGCTATCGGGATGTTAAGAGCATTCCATGAAATATAACAAAAAGTGTATCTCGAGCTGGTTTCTCAAACTTACCTACCCCACCTTTAAAGGTTCAACATATTAAAAGGAACTACAAAAAACGAATTAAAACTGCAGCGCTTCAAGGCTTAAAACACACACTTCCTATATCATAAAGTTGTAAAGATATTTTTGGGTTGTTCCAGTAGTTCATTTAAATCCATATCTCCCAATTCCTTTTGCAATCAAAGACATCGTTTAACACATTGAAAATCCTCCACGATACATTTTGTATTTTGTTCATATATCTAGTATGTTGTGGGATAGAGGTTACCTGTAGATGATGCCCTTTAGATGCAGGAAAAACAGACCAATGGCTATCTCGGCAGCGTAGAATCTACACACAAACACACAGAAACAAAAGCAGTAATTAGAAAGAGTCTGAGCGCAAGGACAAGAGGAAAACAGATGGATAATTTGTGTGTGTGTGTCCACGCAAAGGTCAGGGCTGTCTCTTCAAGGCCAGAGAGCGGCTGATAAGATCAACAGGAGGAGTCTCAACACACTGACCACGCAGTCAACTGTGTTTGTGTGTTTGTTTGCGTGGGCGTGCACAATCAGTGTCCGTTTGTAAAGTGCACCTACAAGATGTCAGGAGGCATTTCAGAGGCGTGGGGAAGCAGTGTGGGAGATCTAGTTGGACGTTATGTACGTGATCAGAGGGGAGTTGCCGCAGCAGGAAGCTAACACGGCTTTAACAGTCATACACAGGAAATACAAGACACTGGGACAGAAGTTCAAGGCATCGTTATTATCCAGGGAGCAGCGTGTCCTGAGTGCGGAGTGGTGCAGCGATGGCACATTATTGTAGGCCAACTTGGGAAGATAGCATCGCTAGGGCTCACTTGACAAAAGCCAATGGTTTTAATTATGCTGATAACTGTGATGTCCTTCTCTCCCTCCTTCCTACGTTCACCTCCTTCTTCTGGGTCCTGCTTCCTTTCTTCTAGCAAATGTAATATCAGGATTTTTCCATTTGATTATGGAATAGACACAGCGTAAATGCAATTGCCAAAAGTAAATAGCTAATGTAATGCTACAAACAAACTACATGACGATCGAATGACTTCCCGTCACCACTGCTAATCTAAAGAAGGCTAATGTTTTTATTTAGTTACTTCTTAGCAACCGATGTATTTAGGACACGTGAAAGCGTCAGACAATCACCAGTAGTGTATGCACCGACGTATTTAATGAATTAAAAAAATATATATCCTAGGCTTGTATCGCCCTTATTTCAGTCATCTAACCAAAAACTCATTAACTGACTTTGAGACAAGGAGTGCTAAAATGCTAACTTATTTCTGGGTCTAGGACTCATTCCTGCACCACCCCATTGCCTCATAAATATATTAAACAAGTCGATGGCCTTAATTAAAAGTCTACCCACCCTTTCCTTTTAACTTGCCTTTCAGCGGTTTAAACCTTCTGCCAGAGGGAAGCAACTCTATTTCCCTATAAAGCAGATGAAGGGCAAACTCCACCACGGCTCTTGCTTTCCCGACAGCCCGCTTGTCAAACATGTCAACTCGCTAGTTTGACTCGACGCCAGCGATCTCGCCAGCCACCTTAATTATACTCTGCAGCTTTGGAGGTATTCTACCGCACACTAAAAAAACTCAGACGAGCTGCTGGATTACTTTCAGTTCTTTCATCAGAGCAGCAACTTGCATCGGGGCGAACAACATATTTCCCCCCCAGGCTCTGCTGCGATTGCTCATCCGTCACCTGAGCCCGTCAAACTGCTGATGGCTTATTCAATATGATTTAAAAAAGCATTACATCTCTAAGCATGGGATTAAGATTGTGTGTTATGATGCCTTTGTGTGTGTGCGTGTGCGTGTGCGTGTGTGTGTGTGTGTGTGTGTACTTACACAGCGTGGGGCTCTTTGAACTTGCCGACCTGCTGGATCTGATACATGAGATCTCCTCCGTTTATGTATTCCATGACAAAATACAGACGGTCCTGCAGAGAGATAAAGATAAACAGAACTGGTCAAACAGTGTGTGTTCCTAAAAGCAGGTGAGAGGTCACTATGAAATAGAGAGAAAGGATTGCTAAAGAAGATAGCGTGAAGGTTTAAGTAAGAGATGACTAAAGGAGATATGAGGGAAAAGGAATGACATAGGCCGTAATAATAGAGGACACAAGATGTATTAGGAAGAACAAGTCAGAGTCAGAAAGAGGGGACCGGGTTGTTGTCCACTGAAACTTCAATTTAAAACATAATTCTCCTCCATTATCTACAGAAATTGCCAATAAGGTACAGAAAGTGACGGGAAGTGGAGGGATTTGTGAGTGTAGCAATGTGTGTGTTCGGAGGTTAGGGCTGCTAATGTGTGTGAGTGTGTTTGAGATTATACTTCCTGATAAGTCTTAAGGCGTTTGAACACTGGGTGGGATCTTTTTCCCCGGAAAGCGGTAGATTTTTCCAAGATTGCACCGTGACCATCTATTTTTGAGTTTAGGCAGGTATGTCTGGGGTAGGCTACAGCCAAACCAAGAAATGGCTTAGCCCCACCTCAGCCCCACCATGAAAAATGATGTTAAAGTAAGCAAATTAAATAAAAAATAAGCAAAATGCTAAATGTTGAGAACACGGCTTGCGAAAAAATATACGTGTCGTGTCCACAACACACAAACTGCTCCTGCTGTGCACGTTACTGATGCAATATGGTTGAGACCATTCGGGCTTATGCTAGAAGAGGGGTGCAAGGAATAGTCTAAGTAGTGGGGGAGTTTTATACACTAAAGATGTGGACATTCTCTGACGTTATAATATCAGCGCGGCCGCTGTCAGATCAAAATGCCTCCGAATGCAATTTGATTAGACCTACAGCCAATCAGAGCAACGAAACTTTGGGTCTGTGTCATGCCTTACTGATTGAGATCAATCGGAACCACCATTCAGTATCTCCATTGGATCTTCAAAGTGTACTATCATACGTCACGTTCGAAGTGATTCCTTTTTATTTACTACAAGACAAATGTACCGTTTTAATCTAAACCTCAAGTATGGCGTTTCACTGTCAAGGGGAGCGTGTATGTAATTACATTGCAAGCCCCACCACTGCATGGGTTAGCCCTACCATAGATTACCCAACAAAAATACTCTGGCACTGCCACTGAGTATAGGGCAAGGTACAATAAGAATTTCTTTGTGTCTTTCATAGTCTTTTATAAAATGCTCATGGCGGCACATTTTTGGTCTTCATTGGCATGAGTGGAACAAATAAATTAAATAAACAATTAAAGCAAAGGCATTAACCGAAATTGGAAGTGGATCTTGATAAAGGCAAGGCATACTTCATTTTTTTTTTTTTTACTTCTTCCATTCTTACTTATCACAATAAGTGCCCTTGACATACAATATTTGCATGTGAGCATATTGCATTTTAGGTGTCATTAAATTTGCGTGCAATATATGCTCGATGTGTCTTCGTCTACAATGTATGCTTGATTTAAATGTAATGCTGTATGTGCACTACACTTCTATGCATGTACACGTGTGTTTTGACTGCCTGCTAAGTCCCGTATGTATAAAAGTGTTTCTATGGTCTGAGAATTGGAGCTGGGAAGGATTACACACTCTCATGTGGTTTAGGAGTGTGTGAATGTGTCGGTTCACTTTTGTCTAGCCATCAACATCCGCCTATGGATTCACAACATGTTGTTATCGCTGATCAATGAAACATGTATGTAAATGAGTGTTAAGTATGGAGCTATATCTACTCCTCTGTTGACTCATCTTTGGTGTGGTATGGATTAAACCTCAGAAGAAAAGCATGAATCAAATATGAATCCAGTGTGTGTGTGTTCCAGCTGTGAGCTGCTGTTAAGACCACAGCGCTCACCAGCAGGACACCGTGCCCCCCCCCTCAGATCGAACACAATGTGAAGGCGTGTCAGTGTGTCAGCTTGTAAAGAGTGTTAAATGGATGGTTCTTTAGATTATCATTGCGGTTAAATGCAACAATGTTCATGATAGCAATGCCTATAATTCATTATTAATATAAATATGTTTTGTTTTAATCGGCTAAAAGCACTGTAAAACTAATTATAGATATAAGAACTAAATATTCATAATGTACAATGACGAAGAATGTGCCCGAAAATAAAGAATGTAGAAAGGGATAGTTGTTTTAATTCCAGTCACTGGTTTTTTTCAGTGACTGACATTTTTTCACACTAAAGTCTATCAAGCATTATCATTTCCTTATCTCACTGTAATTTAAATGTTATAGTATCAATTGTCAATATACTTAATATTTTTGCAAGGATGATCGTTTATTATTATTATTCTCACAGTTTTAATGTTGTATTTTTGTAATGCCATATTTCAATTTCCACATTTTCAAAGGCTTTGTCACATGCACAAAGCTACAGTGTAGAAATGGCAATGAAAATCTTATGACCTGAGCTCTTCCAACAATCCAGCAGCATATATAATAAAATACAAAAATACAAAATAAAAAGTAGTGCAATATGTCTAAATACATGTATATACTATATGCACAGTTGTGTTGGCCATCATACCATGCTCTGGAAGGTGGAGTGCAGCTGTGTGAGGAACGGAGGTTTTCCAGCCAGCGCTAACACTCTCTTCTCCACCATGGTGCATTCAACGTCATCGTCCTGGATCACCACGTCCTTCTTCAGGATCTTTATGGCGTACAGCTCCTCCGTCGTTTTGTGCTCCCCCAGCATCACCTGGAGAGGGGAGGAAGAGGATGGATGGTGAACACAAGGAATAATAAACACACATTTTCATATTTATATGAACTATCTGGTTTGAGGGCACACAAATATATATTAGGGATGGGAATTTGAAAGCAAATGTATATTCGAATATTCGACCCCCCAAAAAACGGTTAACCGGTTAACCGAAATGTACCCTGTATAAAAAATAACCTGGTCGAAATATTTCCACACATTACTCCTTTTTGACGCCATGTCTGTTGTGTAGGACTTCTTAGAGTGTAAATAATTACCGGACTATGACTGGTCAAATATGTTGAATACCGGCAAAACTAAATCTCTCCAGTCAAAATGTCCATTGTACTTTGCCGCCACACACGGTTGCCGAGCAGCGCTTGTTGACAGGGGGCGGGGGAGCGCGCTCATGAACTGTTAGCGCCGGAACCTCGCAACGGCTGCGGAGCGCATTTGCACCGCATTTGGGCCTAAGATGAGGTTTGAGTCTGCGTGATCTGCGTGTAGGGAGGGGCAGCAGCCATATCATTAGCTAGAACTAGCTAGATCTGATGGATTTGGTCATAAACGCGAGTGAAGTATAACCGGACGCGAGAGAGAGAGATCAGCACCTGCAGCTATGCCCGCTGTGAGGGACCGGTGAGCGGAGCAAAACACACCTTTAGACGTCAACTAACACATTTAGCTATGGCACTGTCGTATACATTGAATTATTCAATTTGATAATATGTAATCAACTTAGGCATCCCTCCCAAAAGAAAAAATAAAATTATAAAAAAAATTAATAACTCATATTCGAACACCTGAATAATTTCGAATATTCGATTAATCGTTCCCATCCCTAATATATATTTTTAACTATACAGTTAAAATAAATTTTAAAGAAAAGAAAGAAAACCGATCAACAATAATTGTTCTATTTCTATTGGCTAGCGCTCCAACACATTGTATGCAATAAACTAAGGGGCGGGAGATCTCTAAGCGGTTGACCAATCACAAGAAAGCCGGCAGGGTAATTGTAATTTGTAGTAGGATATGTCTTATTAGAGAAATACCAAAGAAAAATAAATGGCACACAGCTACTGTCAATCCTTTATCGTAACACCACTTTGAAAGATAAGGTAAGGACGAAGGAACAAGGAGGGAGAAAGGGTAATGAGTGAGCTGTAGGAGGCAGGGAAAAGGGGGGGGGAGATAAAGGAGGTTCTGTAAAGGGCAGCAGGGATAAAGAAAAGCTTCTCGGACTCTGTGGGGTTAAGTCAAAGTAGAAGTAAAGAGAGAAAGGACAGGAAGGAAGGAGAGGGAAAACTGATTCAACTTTCAGGATGTCATCAGAGAGGAGGTTACAAAGGAAAGAGAAATGGCAGGACAGGGGGAGCGGAGGGGGTAACAGGCTCCTTGAGTGGGATTGGGTGTCATTCCATATAATAGGAGAATACTATCTTGTTTTCAATATTATGCAAAAATATTTATTTTTTGCACATTCGATGGACAATCTGCACTAATTCTCAAAATATTGAAGTGACTGTTATTTTGTATATATTGATTGTTGTGCTTTTATTTAGGTCTCAATGTGTGCATATGTATAAATGTGTCTGTTGATTGTGTATATATAGCGATATACATATTTGTATATATTTTTGTATTTGGGATTGTGGGAAACGGTATTTCGATCTCTGTCTGTACTCACAAACTGAAAGATTGACAATAAAGTTGACTTTGACTAGTCCTGTGTCAAACATCCTTGTTATTTTGTATCATATTTAGACAACATTAGTTTTTTTTTTGCTGACTATAAGTCTGGGCATTTAATCTTAGTCGACCCCAACTATGTACAGCTTTAGTCAATACCAACTGTTGACTGTTTTAGAAACCAATCAATCTAGTCTAGCCAAAACATGACCAGATTATTTCCAAACCCTGTTGTTGTCATCGGTAACTTTAACTAAAGTAAATACTGTAAGTGTCCTCCTGAACTGTGCCGTCCTGATATGGATTAAACAAATGGTTTCTTTCTGTCAACAAAAGAGACAGCTTTTTCAAATGTTTTAAATAACATTTTAGTTTCTACTTTATTCTTAAATAATATTAAATGTTGATATAGACACCGTGATCGCGTCAATTGTGTTGACAATCAACAGATATTCAATTCTTCAAACACTGAAAGGAATCCGAACTGGGAGAAATGTAATGCTTCTTCAAAATGCCACCAACTCTGTCTCTAAGTCACTTCTTTGACAGAGAAGCCCCGACCAGCAGCAAACAATATATTGTGCGTTAAAGGTCTCCTATCATACTGTTTCTCATCAATATATTACAGGTCTCAGATATATACAGAGCCTGTCTCTGATTGGCTGAAACACCAAACAGATCATTGCAGCATTACCCATAATCCCCTCTGTTTCAGCCCTGTTTCCAAAGTGCTGATTCTCTGTCTGTTACTTTAGATGAAAATAAGGAGCCCCTCCCCACGCCCCTCTGAGAGACATTTGGTTACAAAGAACTCAATGGAGCTCTAGGAGGAGATTCAGGTGATAAGGGGGGGGGTTACCTTGGTTGCTGATTGGCTAATGGTTACACAAGCCAAAACATCGTTATGACATCATAAACTGGCCAAAATCTGATCAGCTCATTTTCAGACAGGTTTTTATAGAAATGGATCAAAAAGAGAGAGAATCTTTGTTCCTGAAACTTTCAGAGTCTCTTTCCACAGAGGGGACACATGTTGATGTAGAAGAGACATGAAGAAGAGGGGACACATGTTGATGTAGAAGAGACATGAAGAAGAGGGGACACATGTTGATGTAGAAGACACATGGAGAAGAGGGGACACATGTTGATGTAGAAGAGACATGAAGTAGAGGGGACACATGTTGATGTAGAAGAGACATGAAGAAGAGGGACACATCCAATGTAGTTTGTAACAGGGAGAGAAGTACGAGAGAACGATGGCTAGTTGTACACAGGGGAGAAGAGGTACAGCAGAAGATGTAGTTTGTACACAGGGGAGAAGAAGTACAGAAGAAGCATGTAGTTGCTACACAGGGGAGAAGAGGTACAGACGAGATACAATTGTACAACAGGGGAAGGAGGTACAGAAGAAGATGTAGTTGTACACAGAAGAGAAAGAGGGGGGAAGAAAAGTACAAGAACAATGAGATTAACCCCGAGGTACAGAGATAGATGTAAGTTTGTCACACAGGGGGAGATACGAGGTCACCAGTACAAGATGCTCAGTTGCTACACAGGGGAGAAGAAGTTACCAGAGACAGATGTATTGTAACACAGGGGAGAAGAGGTAAGCTTGTAACCCACAAGGGGAGAACGGATGTAGTTGATACACAGGGCGAGAAGAAGTCCAAGAGAAGATGTAGTCTGTCACACAGGGCAGACAGCAAGTACAGACGAACAGACTGTACCTTCGTACACAGGGGAGAAGAGCGTCCACAGCAGAACGCATG